GGGCACATCATCTTAGGACGACCTTGGCTATTTGACCTAGATGTAACCATATATGGTCGATCCAATTCCTGCTCCTTCGTGTTTAATGGAAAGAAGATTCACCTTAACCCACTACCCCCAAAGCCGGCTAGCTCACCAGAAGCGAAGAAAAGTGTGGAACAAAAGGGGTTGCATATCATTAGTCCTACAGAGTTTGAGCGTACAATTGTTGGTGACTCAATTGTGTTCGCCTTAGTAGTCATGGAGGTTTCATCTAACTCCACAAGTGAGGATACTGCGGAAGTCCAATCAATCCTTCAGGAGTTTCGGGATGTCTTTCCGGAGGACCTACCTGATCATCTACCTTCGCTAAGAGATATTCAACATGCCATAGATTTCGTCCCCGGTGCATCCCTTCCAAATTTGCCACATTATAGGATGAATCCTACCGAGCACGCTGAGCTCCAAAGGCAAGTAGATGACCTTCTCAACAAAGGATTCATTCGTGAGAGTTTAAGCCCATGTGCTGTCCCCGCCCTATTGACGCCCAAAAAGGATGGATCTTGGAGAATGTGTGTGGATAGTCGCGCTATCAATAGGATCACGGTGAAGTATCGTTTTCCCATTCCCAGGCTTGATGATATGCTGGATATGATGGTTGGCGCGACAATCTTTTCAAAGATCGATCTAAAGAGTGGGTACCATCAAATTAGAATTCGCCCAGGGGACGAGTGGAAGACTGCGTTTAAGACGAAAGATGGCCTTTATGAATGGCTGGTCATGCCTTTTGGGCTAAGTAATGCGCCGAGTACCTTCATGCGGGTAATGACACAAACTCTTCGGCCGTTCATGGGTAAGTTTCTTGTTGTCTACTTTGATGATATCCTCATCTATAGTAAAACCAAGGAGCAACACAGTGACCACCTCAAACAAGTTTGCTCTACCTTTCGCGAGACTAACCTGTATGCTAATGTCAAGAAATGTTCCTTTTTCACCGATAGCGTAGTTTTTCTAGGGTTCATCGTCTCGTCGACAGGGGTGTCTGCTGACCCTACTAAGATTCAGGCGATAATTGACTGGCCTGAGCCTAAGGCCATTCATGATGTCAGGAGCTTTCACGGCTTAGCTACATTTTACCGCCGTTTTATTAAAGGGTTTAGCACTATTATGGCGCCTATCACGGAGTGCATGAAAAAAGGGGAGTTTCATTGGACACGTGAGGCGGCGAAGGCCTTTAAGTTAATCAAGGAGCGAATGACAGAAGCTCCTGTCATGCGTCTTCCCGATTTTTCCAAAGTCTTTGAAGTTGAATGTGACGCTTTTGGGGTAGGTATAGGCGGAGTCTTAAGTCAGGATCGTCACCCTGTCGCCTATTTCAGTGAAAAGTTAAATGAGGCCAAACGACGATATTCAACGTATGATAAGGAACTGTATGCGGTGGTCCAGGCTTTGCGCTATTGGCGCCACTACTTGTTGCCCCAAGAATTCGTCCTTTATTCGGACCACGAAGCCCTCCGTTACCTCAACTCTCAGAAGAGATTAAGTTCTAGGCATGGACGTTGGGTTGAATATTTGCAGGCCTATTCATTTGTTTTAAAACACAAGAAGGGCGTGGAGAACCAAGCAGCTGACGCGTTAAGTCGTCGTGTCTCCCTTTTGTCGATCATGAGTGTCAAAGTCATCGATTTTGAAAGACTTAAGGAGGATTACGAGGCATGTCCCGATTTTAAAGATATCTTTCTTAATTTACAGAAGGGACAATCAGGCGCCACAGATGGCTTCCGACTTGAGGAGGGTTATCTCTTTAGAGCCAATAAATTGTGCATCCCTCGAACTTCAGTTCGAGATTTTATAGTGTGGGAAGTTCACGCGGGAGGGTTAGCCGGTCACTTTGGGCGTGATAAGACCATTGAGGAGGTTGAACGCCAATTCTATTGGCCTAGTTTAAAGAGAGATGTGGCTAAAATTGTTAGTACATGTAACACTTGTCAATGGGCCAAACAGAAGAAGCAGAACACAGGCCTATACACTCTCCTCCCCGTCCCCAATTGTCCTTGGCAAGACGTTAGTATGGATTTTGTGCTAGGACTGCCACGCACCCCAAAGAAGCATGATTCTATTTTCGTGGTTGTCGATCGTTTCTCGAAAATGGCTCACTTTATCCCCTGTAGCAAAACATCGGATGC